TATATAATATGCATAATACTATGTTTTACGTACACACATGTCCATTGATTTTTAAGGTTTGATATTTTTTAATTAATGTAAGGCGCATTAAGATTATTTTTTTTTAATTGAAAATGCGCAACTTACTTTGAAGTGACCTTTATGAATAGGCTTTTAGATTATGTTGGTCATTCAACTTTTAGACCTGTATGCAAAGATCTGAGAAGATTAAGCAGAGCGATTTCATTTTATCGTGTTTGAAGCGCGGCGGTGAGACGAGAGTTAACAAGCTGTAATATAATACTACCTGGAAGTCGTTGTAGTCTTTTCCGAGGTTGTAAGAACAAAGTTAGCAGATTCTGCTTTGGCTGGCAGGGTTATCACATATGGACACACACACAGCCGCTATATATATATATATATAGGCCCACTCATTCGATGACAAGAAGATTTTGTAGAGTGTAGCCATAAACAAAACAAAACTAAAGTGGTATTTTGGTGACTCGGCAAAAAAACCAGAATTGTAACAGGACCAGCGATCTTAGAGTTCTATGACCGACTACTTTGTTCTTTTTCTCACTGTGTATCGTGAGCACCAATGTATCGATTCTTGCATACTACCACCAGCAGTGTATCGACTCCTGTATATCGCCAGCAGTGCATCGAGGCCTTCATGTCGCCAAATATCGTACATAACAAGATAGTTCACTCCTCTCTTTGAGGCAATTTAAAAAGTGTCCTCAAAATCCAGTGGAGTCGTTTCCGAAAAAGCGCGAACTTTGAGAACAGAGTTACCCTACTTGTGTGGAAAAAACCAACAAAATCGAAACTAACTAACTGTGCTATTCCTATTCTTCTTCTGGAGAAACGAAAGAGAGCTTCAATACAAAGACTGCAGCGCCATCTGAAACACGGACACCTTTTTGGCTGAGTGAACTATCTTGGTACGTACGATCTTTGATATCGCGACAATGTTTCGCGACCCCTGTATATTGCGACAAGGTATCGAGCCCTGTATCTCGCGACCAGCTGCGTATCGACCCCTATACAGATCACACCTCCTTTCTGCAGACGTCATGGTGATCGGGAAAAAAACCCGGCCCAATAACACCCCGTCACTGGGCCACCCGGCATCGGCGACGTGACTCAGCGAAATCACATTCCTTGTCCTACATTCCGGCACATTAGTACAGTTCTGCATTAGACGTATTATAGTATTTTATATTGTTATATTTATAGAAGAAGAAGAAGAAGAAGAAGAAGAAGAAGAAGAAGAAGAAGAAGAA